TTCAAGGCTGAGATATCGTTGATGACAGTGCTCGAATGAACACTGGGAACAGAATTTGACTTTTGTCAAACTCATCTCAGATCCAAGAGAACTAATTTCATCGATGTGTTTGGATTGCCGCAAAGCAGTCATCACCCGCTCAAAGACCGTGCATTGCAGGACCTGTATTGACTGGCTGCATATTGCCTGTTGTAATCTCTTCAGCGGACCTCCTCCTTGGTTGTCTTTTTCAATTTTGACACTTGGCAATCGGCTGAGGCGGATAAGAGACTCGGGATCTGCTTTTTCCCACTCGGCCCTGTGGCGCATTCATGGGAAACAATGGCTATACCCTTCCCGCCAATTTCCGTGTCCTGCTCGGCGACTGCGAACGTAGGTCGTAGCAGCGATTCCTGCTTCATCGTCCGTGACCATGGCACAAAGTGGATCTAAAATCAAGGCGATCACTCCAGCTGTCTAACGGAACCGGGTCTTATCTGCGTCGGTTTCGGAGCCGCTGCCGTCTGCTGGTGATAGTAGGTCACGTAGGCTCCAGCCTGGAATTCGAGACGAACCGACGGCACGGAGTTGGGTCGTCAGTGACTTGATTTTCCGCTGCCAAGTTAATTTTTGCCCAGCTAGGGCCTTGCGCCACCCTACATGTGGTAGACGAAACAAGACCCTCCTCGGTAAGCGGTGACCAGGCATACGTAGTACGTCCCCAAGCCAATGCAACTTATTCAGTGCCATCTGTTGTTGTAAGGAACTAGCCTGGTTATCACTGCGTAGTACTCATCGTTGGGGACACGCAGGTGCCATCCGACCCGACCGATGCTTCGCACACAACGATGATCGTGGTAGGATACTGGATGACCAGGATTTTATAGAACCATTGGTTTCCAAGCTTTTCGATGATGGCGAGATGGACATCAATATTGTTTCTGCCATTCTTCTCGGCATGAAGCAAGAAGGTTGCTCGAAAACTCATCTGCGCAGGATTATCTGCCAGAATGGAGATGAATGCCGTTAGGCTCTCAGATGGTACTCACGTCTCAAGGGAGAACGCTTTTAAGTACTGCGAGACCTTTCTCCAAAGAATCTGGTCCGAATGAAGAGTGCTGTCGAGGACCTACGGAGACGTCGGACAAATGGTGAAGTTAATCACCACATTGGTGATTTTCGCATGGTGCAGAAAGCACAGAGAGTTTGATGGAAACCAATTTTCCTCATATCGAAGCAGCAAGACTAACAAATGGGCTACAATTTCTAACTGCCAATGTGCGTATCATAAGAAACAAACTTGATGAAACTTAACTCCTTGATTCAGCGAAACGACCGGACTTAATGGCCTTCACAGAGAGCTAGTTATCTTCGGACGTACTAGACTAAGAGGTTCAACTTTCGGGGTATCACTTCTCCCGGCCCTACCGTTCTGGAGTGAGATCTGGTAATGGTGGGGTTCTCTACTGGAAGGAGAGCCTCAGGGCTCATCCTGTGAAAGCAGTCTGCAGCAACAATACTGCTTCCGAACCTTTGTGGTGTTGGATTCATGACGGGTGTCGGTCTCTCATGGTCGATGTCATTTACAGACCACCTGTAGGGTCCGGAACTTGCTTACTGGTTTCGGCAAAGAGGCACGGAAGAGGTAGAGACTGTTTGATAATGAGAGACGTTAATGCTGTTGCTATTGATTGGGACCTGATCCATTGTAACCTCTCTCCGGATTCTTTCGATTCTCTTCTCCTGGAAACTGCTTTTAGTTGTCACTTGCTCCAGCATGTTGCAGCGCCAACTGGAATATATCCAGGCCAAGCTCAACACATCTTGGACATCGTACTCTCACTGGCGTACTTAGATGTCTTCTCCTTGTCTGTAATACAATCTGTTGGCAAAGTGATCATTGTGTGGTTTCCTTTGAATCGACCTGCCGTCTCACCATTCATGACCAGAGTGTGTACTGTCGGAACTTCTGGTGTGCGGGCCCACACCGTCTGAGAGTTGCTGCAAGTACTCTAGACTGGCGCATTCTCGAGCAACTTGACGTTGACGACACCTGGGACCTCTCATACTCAAAAATGATGGTCAAGTAGTCCCTAGCTGTAAAAGGAAACATGAATTAAGGATCCTTATGAACCAACGACACAGCTTATGGGATAGATTTAGGTCTACAACATCGGCTTTAGATTACTCGAACTACAAGGTGGTTAGGAACCTATGCACAGAAACGGAACGCGAGAAACGACGACAGCATGAATTTCGTTTGGCAGAAAAGCCTAAGACCACTCCCAAGGCAATTTCTTCATATCTGAGCAGGAGTACACAAGCTGGGTGTGTGATACCTGCCCCGTATTCTAGCAACAATGATACCTAACTGTATGAGGATTATGCAAAAGCGGATCACCTGGCTTTGCAGCATTTCTCGGTTTTTTCCACTGAAGCTCCATTGCCCAGCTACTTTGTATGATCACAACCCTCGACACTGGAGCAATTGCGCTCAGTGGCGACTTGGTTCTGAGACTACTTCTGGAATTAAATCCGAACTCCTCACCGGGTCCCGATGATCTTCATCTTTTGTTCCTCAAGGCGGTGGCTTAGCACTGCTTCTGTTTGCCAAGCCCGTAGCCTAAAGTCAGCATGCTTATCTTGTAATCTGACGGCGCGTGTTCGAGGCTACGTAGGGAAAAGAAGAGCTTCGCAGTATCCTTAGCCCACTGGTGACCGGTGGTGGTTGCACGGTAGCGAATCGTCGGTACTGCGTACTGGCGTACTGCTGATGCCTTGCCAATTTTTCGGCGCACCCTAGATGGTGGACATCTTCCGAGAGCTTGGAAACTGGGTACTGTGAAGCCTATATACAGGGGAGGAGATCATCAGGGTTCTGCAAACTACCGGTCGATCTGTTTGATATCGATAATTTGTAAAATCATGGAAATAGTTTTTAAGTGAGTCTTGAATCTTCACCTGGAAAACCTGCATGTCCTCTTGTGCGCTCAACATTGTTTTCGGAAGACACGTTCATATGTTTCTAACTTGCTTGTTGTCAGAAAAATGTGGGCGAGATCACTGGATGTCGCTGATCGCCCAGGTGTCGTTTTCATCGACTTCAGTATGGCATTTGACAAAGTTACTCAAGGACGTCTCCTTCTCAAACTCCGGAGAATTGGTGTTTCTGGAAAGATTCTCTCCTGGGTTGCCTACTTTCTGAACGGTCGAAGTATGCAAGTTAAAGCGAACGATATTTGCTCCACTCATGATTTTATAATCAGCAGGTCCCATAGGGCTGTTTTCTTTGTTCTGAACTCTTCATAATCTACATCATTGGTCTTCCCTCAGAGCTCTCAACTGATTGCCTCATATATGCTAATTATTTGAAACTGTGGCTAGAGGTGTCCAAGCTTGATGCTGCTGAGCGGCTACTGACGACGCTGGACTGGTTGCACTGCTGGCCAATGGAGTGGCGGCTACCCGTTAACCATGATAAGTGTTCTGTCCTCCCAATTGGTGCCCCGGACCCGTTTGGTATTTATCACATTGGGGTTCTCTACTCTGGAACGCAGCCTTGGCGAAGGAGCTTGGAGTTCTTGTCTCGCCAAATCTACGCATGACTCAGGATACCGTAAAGAAATTTGCCACTGCTAATAGGATGTCCTTTTCTGTAAAGAGATCTTTCTCCCACAAGACTCCAGGAGTATTCTGACTTCTGTTCATGTCTAATGTTCGACCAATTATTGCGTACAGATTGCAAGCATCCTATCCTTTCACGAAAGCGGGGGCGTACTGATAGAGAAGGTTCAACGGCGTGGATCCAAATCTTTTGCGTCACTCAGGAACTTGTCTTAGTCTCATCATTTCCAAAGAATGAACTTGTTCTCGCTGGAGTATTCTCGTCTCCGTGGTGACTTGATTTACACGCGACTTATTCTCCGGGATGAGATGAGGAATGTGGTACAAAAGTTCTTTCGTTTTTGTGCGGATAGTTCGACACGAGGCCACGGTATGAAGTTGTTTAAACCAAGGAGGCTTCGGGTTCGCTCTGACGTCACTTTGTCAACTCGTGTGGCGAATGAGCGGAACAGTTTGCTTGAGCTAGTCGTCAGTGCACACACAGTGGAATGTTTCAAGCGCTTACCGGAGAAGCTGTGATGACTGTGACCGCGGTGCTCCCTTGTGTAACACGGTGCCGCATCAACTCACATAACGCCTGCAGTGAGCGGGAAGTGATGGGGCTGACAAAGGATTTCCTATCTGCTCTCTACAAACCAATAAGTCAACTCTCTTGCAGCCGATGGAGTTATTCGTGTTACAGGCTGTGGGAACACTGTCGGGTGCACTGTTTCAGCGTCCTCCACTAGTAGCAGCCGTGAAACGTCAGCTGCGCGTTCGGACAGTATATGAATATAAGCTTCATAAGTACGACGAAGAAAGAGGCTTAGGTTTGCTTTTTTGTTTTCGAATGATTCAGGTGTTATGCGCGTCACATGTGAGGTCGGGACTTATGTTCGGACATTGTGTGTTCATATCGGTCTGCTTCTGGGATGTGGAGGCATAATGGAAGAGTTGCGCCGCACGCGCTCTGGCAATTTGACCGAAGAGGTATACTTTTTCTTATGGGTTTCACGGCCTCAGAACAATATGGTAACAATGCATGACGTACTGGACGCTAAGTGGCTTTATGGTAACAGACATGATGAGTCATACCTCCGACGCTGATTGCAGATTGGTCATGAGCGCATAATGATCAAGAACACGACAGTTCGCTCCTGAATTCATCTCGCAGCGGTTTAGGTGTGCGCTATTTGTTATGCAGCTGAACTCGTGTTGCCCGGTGTATAACGTTACGACAATGACATTGATGTAAATGATGAAATCGTCCTAATGACAACTGAGGGCGAAGCTGTTGCCGTTGGTGTGTTGAATTTGGGCCCACATTTTTACTCCGTCTTAAGCCCATTGCTCTGACTGTGACAGCCTCAGCTGGCATTTGCGACCACGGTCTAGTGGCGAAACTAAAGCGTGTTATCATGGAACGTGATATGTATCCTCGGCAGTGGGTACGAGGCTCAGTGGCCATGGAACGTAAAAAGTTGGTTGCTCAAGGCTTGCTAAACAAATATGCTAAGCCAGGCGAAACTCCTCCCATTCCTAGGTAAGTGTTGCTTTTCATTCGTTTGTATTTGGTAGCTCTATCCCTGCTCCCAAACGTGAAAGTAGTGCTCACTCAAATTCCATGGCAGTGTAAGTTGTGGGCCATTTGGTTTTACGTTTGATTTTAGCGAAGAGCCAGATGCTGACGTCTTTAATGACTTAAGTTCGGACGACTCCAGTGATGATGTACAAGCTGCAGAGTAAGCTGTTGTTTGTACTGCCTTTGTTACCTTGGTGATGATCAAGCATATGTCAGATTTTTGACGACCCAATTCTCTGAGTGATTCAGAACGCGTTGCGCATTATCATACTTCATCCGCTACACTAAATTTTCTTATTTTAGACCCCAGAACGTGCTTAAGGTTGGCTCCTCCGAAAGTGACAGTGATTAGCTTGATGTCAAGTGTACAGCATGATTATACAATGAGCTCAACTTGTGACTTTTGAATGTGTCCTTTCTACCGTATTGGCTAAGTCGTTTCTGCTGTGGCGCTGCTTGCTTCACGTGAACGTGCTAGTTCAGCATCCCATTTGTATGCTGCCAGCTATTTCATATAGGTTATCTGTCGACTGTCTGTTTTGACAGTTGTAGAGCTCGATGCGTCCATCGTCGTATTACTTCAAAATCTCGAAAGATGCAATTAGGATACTGATCACTAGTTCCTTTTGGATTGTAGTATGACATCGCTGTGAGTTTCTGCATCGTTTTTCGACCAATGTTGATACGGCCGTACATTTGTAATCTTCCATTTCTATCTTCTGACCCTTATGTTTCGCACTTGCATCAACTCTGTTGTGTTCCAATAACCAATTCCTGTTGGTGATGTACCAATGATATAAGCTCGTCTACTTCCTTTGCAAGTACTAAGTGTTGCTGCGGTTGCTGTTCGAGCCGGTTTTGAGTCTCCAGATTTCGAGTGCAGTAGGCGAACGAGCAGGAGTACTCGTGCATTCGCGCGGCCACCTGGTCAGAATAAGCACAATACTCCATATCAAACAACAGTCTTGCACTTATGTGCGATTTGAATTCGTTGTGCTTTGTGGTTTAATGACATCTACTTAACTGTGTAAACGGTTGTGCTAGAATACCGTACTGCTTATATTGAGAATGAGAGCAACGCGCAGCTGAAGAAAGCGGTCACCAATTTCAATATTGCATGCAGGGACCTCTAGAGGTGATGTTCCACTTCTTAAGGAAACGGATCCTAATGCCATTCGTATAAGTGAAGAGAGATGACCATGGAGTTTTTTTTGTTAATCTAGGCGTACAGTGGATAAAACCGTAATATCTCACCACACCCTGCGTTCCCGAACTGTAATATTGGGGCTTCGCCGTCGTCAGAGGCAATGTTGCTCTACGCTAGTCGTGTTGGGCTTATAGCCTGTATAGCTACGCTTTGTCAGCAGCGTGTCGTTGACTGATACGTAGCCTCTAATTGGTACGAAATTCGCCTATTTGCCATCGATTTGTCCGGTCTGGTTACTTCTGAATGTACGTGGCCAAGTGCCATTCAGCATCACGCATTGAATCACGGGGGTTCGCGAAACATTGCGCCACTACAAAGTCTATTCCTTTCACGTTGAATGTCAACATGAACATATTATAGATTCCGTTGTTGCAACCCATACAGTGTTTTTCACTTAACAATTAATAATCTAAGTCTTGTGGGGGTTATGCCAGCGGGCGGTGTATATAGTGCCCCCAGACACTCCACTAACTGCGACGTGCTTCGTACAATACTTCCGACACACCATAGCAATCCTCCTACTGGTGCCGATTTGCTCACTTCCTTATGTTATACGCCGTTGTCCTAGGATTTTTCATATTACCGCATCAGCGGGTATGCAACGTACGCCAATTTCTGCACTACCGGTGCATTGATAATCATACCACAGTCAGAAAGCTGCCCAGACTGTAGGACGTCTTTGTCGGTTCGCCAAATTTGTGACTCCGACAACTTCGCGTGGGCATTTAGACTTCGGAGGAACGCGAGGTATTACTGCGTGTCGCATTCAAACGCAACTCAATGGTAATGCTGTCCAGGTTTAGCCAGATATTCCAGTGGCAGATAGGCTGAAGTTGGAGGGTGACATCAACGACCGCAAAAGCGAGCGGGCGGTTGTCGAGAAAGGCCTCCGTCCTGTGCGCTTTAATATGGTCAGCCGGAGGTCATACCATACGATGCCATACCAGAACTCATCCTGATAGCGCACGACCCATGGTGGGTCGTGCCGACTTCCTTTGGGTAGTACTTAGCAATGTGCGTAGCCTAAGGAACAAGGTATATTAGACAAATTTCTTCCATACATACTTGCTTACTCGGAAAGTGGTTGTCCCCGGATATCATGGATGGTATGTTAATCTGGTTCTGCATTGCTTAAAACTGATGGCTCTGTTTTTCGTCAAGGCGGAGGCGTTGGGCTTTATGTGAACTGTAAATTAGTTGTATTGAGGACCTTCACATTTCGATTATTGCATCAGACTGTTGAAATCCAGTCGGCTGTTCAGTGCTCTTCCTTTGCCCAGTTTACAGTTGTAGGGGTATGCAGGGGTCCTTGGTACCTCGCGGCGTATTATTGACTAATCGCACTCAGTCTGCGAATAGATGTCCAGTTCTAGGGGATTTAGACCTCTCTGAAGTCTGTTGGTCTGAATTTTCGTATATTCGACGTCAGGAACCTTCGGACTTTCTTGAGCTGACACTTCTGCTGCCCCACTCGTTATATGGACACCCAAGTACCATCTACTTTAGATCTGGGTTTCACTATGTTCCTCGACTTCGTAACTGACGTTTCTTACTGTACAAGTGGGGTCCATCTGTCACGTATGCATCCCATTTTGGTGTGCTCTTTTGTGCACTAACAGACCTTTGACCGGGATTTTTGTCTCATTCGACGACACTCGGATGCTGCAAATTGGTGCGGTTATATTTAACATCGCTAGACGTATTAGGCTGGTTAGTTTCCTTTTGACGGCTGGTTTTAGACTGTCGATGGTGGCGATTTCGTGTCTGTCGCCCTGGTCGGTCGTAAGGGTGGTACTTGTTCGATTGAAGGGTCCGATGTATTGCGACTAGAAGCGCTGTCGCACGCCGTCTACGCGAAGCAGTACGTGTGAGCAAGTAAATAGTTTTACTCGCACGTCCACCGGTGTCTTCTGCAACGTTGTAGCGGGCGTGCGCAGCTCGCGCATGTGGTGAGTCAATCGATCAATGTACCTTTCATAATCGTAGGATGAAGTGGACATTGGTGATGCTACAAGCTCTCCTTTCCAACGCCGCGTGCAGCCGAAGAGTAGCTGCGCTGGTGTTGCGTCGAAATCGGTTTTAATGGTGTTCCTGAGACCTAGGAGGACGAGTGGAAGGATTTCGCACCACGAGGAATCTGTGTGCTCGGAGCGCTGCGTTCAGTTTGCGATGAAATCGCTTTCCCATGTCGTTAGAGGCCGGATGATATGCGGTCGTCTTGGCATGGCGATAGCCTAAATACTTAAGCAGACTTGTAAAAATGGGGGAGAAATGTGATCCTTGATCAGCGGTCCTGATGGCAGGACAGCTGTGCTGAGCTACACAGCGCTCTAGAAATGCCTTTGCTACGGTTTTCGAAGCGCAATTTCGAATCGGCATAGCCTCTGGCAACCAGGGGAATCGGTCGCTGGAGGTTAGTATGTATACGGAGCTTTTCGAAGGCGACAGAGTACGTACGAGGTCGACGTGCATGTGGTGAAAACGTGTGTCTAGCGTCGGGAACGTGCGTAATGGGACTTTTCTTGTACTCTTGCACCTTCGCGAATCGACAAGGAAGGCAGGAAGCTGTCCGGGTACGAACGTCACAATTGACATTGCGTCAAAAAATCGTGCGGTTACGAGTTTAACGGATGCACGAACGTCTGGGTGAGACAAATCGTGAAGCATGTTGAACACGATCTGTCGAAGCTCGCGTGGGACGACTTGAGGTGGTAACTCAATTTTCTGACGTGCCATAATGTTTTGCTTTCAAGGCTGAGATATCGTTGATGACAGTGCTCGAATGAACACTGGGAACAGAATTTGACTTTTGTCAAACTCATCTCAGATCCAAGAGAACTAATTTCATCGATGTGTTTGGATTGCCGCAAAGCAGTCATCACCCGCTCAAAGACCGTGCATTGCAGGACCTGTATTGACTGGCTGCATATTGCCTGTTGTAATCTCTTCAGCGGACCTCCTCCTTGTTTGTCTTTTTCAATTTTGACACTTGGCAATCGGCTGAGGCGGATAAGAGACTCGGGATCTGCTTTTTCCCACTCGGCCCTGTGGCGCATTCATGGGAAACAATGGCTATACCCTTCCCGCCAATTTCCGTGTCCTGCTCGGCGACTGCGAACGTAGGTCGTAGCAGCGATTCCTGCTTCATCGTCCGTGACCATGGCACAAAGTGGATCTAAAATCAAGGCGATCACTCCAGCTGTCTAACGGAACCGGGTCTTATCTGCGTCGGTTTCGGAGCCGCTGCCGTCTGCTGGTGATAGCAGGTCACGTAGGCTCCAGCCTGGAATTCGAGACGAACCGACGGCACGGAGTTGGGTCGTCAGTGACTTGATTTTCCGCTGCCAAGTTAATTTTTGCCCAGCTAGGGCCTTGCGCCACCCTACATGTGGTAGACGAAACAAGACCCTCCTCGGTAAGCGGTGACCAGGCATACGTAGTACGTCCCCAAGCCAATGCAACTTATTCAGTGCCATCTGTTGTTGTAAGGAACTAGCCTAGTTATCACTGCGTAGTACTCATCGTTGGGGACACGCAGGTGCCATCCGACCCGACCGATGCTTCGCACACAACGATGATCGTGGTAGGATACTGGATGACCAGGATTTTATAGAACCATTGGTTTCCAAGCTTTTCGATGATGGTGAGATGGACATCAATATTGTTTCTGCCATTCTTCTCGGCATGAAGCAAGAAGGTTGCTCGAAAACTCATCTGCGCAGGATTATCTGCCAGAATGAAGATGAATGCCGTTAGGCTCTCAGATGGTACTCACGTCTCAAGGGAGAACGCTTTTAAGTACTGCGAGACCTTTCTCCAAAGAATCTGGTCCGAATGAAGAGTGCTGTCGAGGACCTACGGAGACGTCGGACAAATGGTGAAGTTAATCACCACATTGGTGATTTTCGCATGGTGCAGAAAGCACAGAGAGTTTGATGGAAACCAATTTTCCTCATATCGAAGCAGCAAGACTAACAAATGGGCTACAATTTCTAACTGCCAATGTGCGTATCATAAGAAACAAACTTGATGAAACTTAACTCCTTGATTCAGCGAAACGACCGGACTTAATGGCCTTCACAGAGAGCTAGTTATCTTCGGACGTACTAGACTAAGAGGTTCAACTTTCGGGGTATCACTTCTCC